GATGATACCTACTGAAATTGATAAAGATAAAGATTACCTGTTCAGGAAATACTCCATGATTGCTTCAAATTTGAGATGAACGGCTACTAGTGGTCCAAGATGTGGCAGTCCATCTGGTAACTGGGGGCAAAGTTGCACTGGTGCTGGGGTTGTTGCCCTAGTTACCAATCTGTGTCTGGGATGAAAGTGCTTGATATCACCTATATAGCCCTACATGACTCAACTGCCAGGTACTTACAGGACAGGATAATTTCTCTTGGCAAGTTTTGACTGTGCCTGAATGGGAGGGTATGCTGAGGGTCTCCTGCCCATGTGAGGTAAAGTGATTGGGGCCCAAGGACAGAATAACTTGCTTCCTGAGGTATGTGGTGCCTTTAACCTCTTTATTTCAAAGAGCATTTGAGTGCTCATGATCACAGAGCGGCTTTTAGTTAGATATTTATTATCTATTTATTTTATTTTTTTGTATTTATTATTATTTTTTAAATTGTATTCCTGTAAACCACCTTGGGTCTGGTGAAGGAATGGTATGCAAATGTTTATATAAATTAGTACATGTCTATAAAGCCCATAATGCTCCCCCACAATCTATAGCTTCTTCCCTGGCTTCTCCCATATCAATTACACCCCAAAGAAAGATGACAAGGGACCTTTTGAGATCAAGAAGCAGGAGCAGCCACAGAGAGTGCAAAGTGATCTAGAGTTCTGGAATATGGAAACAACAGCAGTACCCTCATCCAACCTGCAGGAATAAATTCAAAAATACCGACTAAAAATTCCTAAACAGCAGCCTTCTAAAACTGTTTAAGGATGACCTAGAAAAACGTACGTCTCTATGGGGGTGAGGGGGAAATCAGGTTTGGAAGACTGGGTTTGGCACAGTATCAGTTCCGATCCAGATTAAACAAGTGAAGCCATAGACAAAACTATGGAGACATTTTTTCCTTTCTTCCTTTAGCCTGATCTTGAACATTTATTTAAACTCTACAACACAAAGCAGTGTGTTTTGGCAACAAATGGTATTTAAACATTATTTTGATTATTCCTTTAAAACTGCAACTCAGCCCAAAGATGATGAAAGAACTGAATATGCAATTAACTAAATGTTGCACAGAGGGTTTGTTATTGTATAAACAAATCTAGACCGTGCAGTAACATTGAGAATTTACAATGTTTGCAAAGAACAAGTAGACAAGGTTCTACTGTGCAAAGAGAAAATGAACCTGAGGGAACAGGTGTCTCCTCTTTTTCATGCCTCCCTTTCATTTAAAACAGAAGAGGAGGGGGTGGGATATACTTGAGTGGGGGGTTGATGCAGTCAACAGTACCTTTAAAATGGTATTCAACAGTGTTTCTTTTTCTATATAGCAATGTCACAATTCCTTCTCTCTTCCTCTCTCCCTCTCTCTCTCCCCCAATCCTCCTTTGAGAAAACATTTCTCAAGAAACCAAGGGGCAACTTATAGTTTTTGAGTTGCAAATGGATCCAATAATGCAAGTATGATTTCTTGAAAATAATATGAAATGCAAGGACAATCTGAGAAGTAATGCCCAGTCCTTTCAAAGGCAGAGTCCAAGCGTATCAGTTGCATTATTTATTTAATTATTCCTGTTCAAATGACGACTCATGCCAATAGGAGTTGGCAATGTAATAAAAATGAACAAGGTAGTATGAAAACCTTTAGAAGAGAAGACCACCGTGTTATGTTCACCTATTCAAAAATAAGACCCTCTAAACCAGTGTTTCTCAACCTTGTCAACTTTAAGATGTGTGGACTTCAACTCCCACTGGGGAATTCTGGGAGTCGAAGTCCACACATCTTAAAGTTGACAAGGTTGAGAAACACTGCTCTAAACTAATGGGATTTTCTTCTGAATAACCATGCTTAACAAATGTTGGGGGTTTTTTTGTTGTTGTTGAAATAGATTGGTCCCAATTCCTGCAGTTAGCTCGAATCACATTGACCTTTAACCTCTACTTCACAGTGCCTGCATTTTGTTCACATAAAACACAAAATCATTAACTATGGCTTACAAGCCACAGTGGCTCAGTTCATACAACACGCTAAGCTGAAACCACTTTGCCCCTTATATGGTGTGAATTACTGAATTTATACTACTGTATATCTGAACACATCATCTAGTCTGTTTGGGTTTGGTTTAGCAAGTCTGCCTGTAGCCAATCAACTGTGCTTTATTCAACCACCCATTGCTAACTACAGCTTGATGCTATATGGGAACTCAGGCAATAGGACTGTGGTGAAATACACAGTAGTGCAAGAAGCTGTTCCATTATTTCAACTAGGGTGTGTGTGTGTGTGGGGGGGGAGTTAAGGTGCAGGAACTGGATATAGGCAAAACTGCATGACCAGGTAACCCCAGAGCACAGCCACTGATCATTTCTCAAAGGCTGGGATGCTCCACAGCATTCTGTACCTGCCCTCAGCCCTCTGGGAAGGCAACCTCTGGTGGCCTTTTCCTGCTACACATCCAAAGTAGCCTTTTCCAGCTCACACCAGTACAAATGATGCTGTCCAGTTCACCTACTGCATTTCATTTCATTGTAAGCACGTGTCTCCAGTGCAATCAGTTCCTGTGCACTGTGGCTGGAACACCATCCCTTTTTCCCACTGGCCACTACTGTCCATGGTTACTTTATTCTGAGCTTCTGTGCTACCTGCCCCCTTCTTAAGGGGCCTGGGCTGCTGAACCTGGGCTTGTTTCTCCCTTCATTACATAAGTGAACCAGTGCAATGCTCGAAAAAGAAAGAATTGTTTCAGCATTCTCCTATCATTTGACTAGAAAGAGAAAGAGACAGAAGTCTTGTCAATTTTATCTAATTAAAGGAGGGAGGGAGGGAGGGAGGGAGG